TGTTAAAAACTGCAAAGCACAAAGGGAAGATAAATTAATGCGTAGTGTATTACATCTGTGCAACAGTTATTGAACCTTTCTTTTAACAGTTTTAAATTTCAGTTACTGTGCAAGTTAAAACAATTTATAGTCTTTTCTACACCCGTGTTTTGTTCTCACAGACACCCGGTAGCAAGTAACAAAACATTAAACTCCGGCAAGAAGATAAAGTCCTTTTTGCAAAATCATAGACATGTGTATAATGGGAACACAGAATGATCTCGGAGAGAGCTTTACCGAACTGACTGTCCAGGGTTGTGACCAGGGTTTAAAGGCTGAATGAATGACTGACAGCCACAGCGGAGAAAAGAGTTTGTGTGAACTTTAATGTAAGGATTTAAATATTCATATGTAGCTCAAATTAAGCTATCGTATGGCTTCAGAAGTAACACAGAATAATTAACACAATCGAGAGAGAGAGAGAAAAAAAAAAAGATCGGATTTGGATCGGCTCTCTCTGACGATACCCGATCCAAGAAAAATGGCAGTATCGGAGCCGATACCTGATATGAATATCGGATCGGCGCATCCCTACTCCAAACATTAAAACACAATACAAAGCAACTGCCTTGCACACTTTTCCTGCAACAGCTCAGTCTGGATCCTGTATTTGAGTTTTGTCTATAAAAATGTGCGATTTTCTACTGTAAAGTAATATGACCAATGAATGTGCACAGCATGCAGATTTGACAATCGAAAATCAAACTCATAGATTTTAACTTGATTAGTTACTGCAGCCCTATAAAACTAATTTATCATCAACATTAAATGCCATTAGAACTGCATTAACTATTGTCAATACTTTAAAAATGTAACACTGACTACAACAACAACTGTTTCGTAAACAAGTGCAAAAAGCTTTTTGGCTATTGCTTAACAATATATTCCAACAATGTCACCTCAGCCAAAACCAAAAGTGGTTAAAGGTGGAGCAAATTACTATATTTTGATTAATTAGTACTAACATTTTCCCTTAGAATAATGAGCACTGAAAGTCATGACGAAACGATCAAACAACACAGCTTTTCTTCCATATTGTGACAAATATCCGAGTGTAATGGAAAAAATGTTGGACACTTGTTTCTATTCATCGGCTGTTGTTCGGATTTTGAGATGCGGGCATCACGCTCAAAAGTGGAGGCAGGTGAACGTGATCTTGCAGGGATGGGTTTAAACAGACTAAATTATTGGAGAATTCCTGTATACGTCACCAGAAAGAATCTGGTATTTTCACTGGATTTCCAGTTATGCTTAAAAACTGTTTTGATTAAAAACAATGGTCAAAAAAAAAAGAAAAAAGAGAGGGAAACGCACGGATTAATTGTTCAAATCTATAACATGCATTCTGAAAATAAAGTGAATTTTCATTTCATGCCAACTTTCCACAAACTGAGTGCATTTCGTTTTGAGTTCAATCTAACATGTTAGGGCCTTTCGCACCGCGGGAACCTTTTCATAGTACCAGAACTAATTGTGGAACTACCCACTTTTTGGCGTTTTCGCACTGCCGGAACTGGGTGCGATTTTAGTACTGGACTGCCTTTTTCGAGAACCAAATTAGCTCCTACTCCGGAGCAGGGTCTAACCAGCACAACTGGTACTAATCGTGACGCAAGTAGACATTGATTGGCCAAACGCGTATGCAAACACCCTCACCCGCCATGATTTAAAACGCTGTGTAAACATACTGTCGACTTATTTCGCAAGTATGGAGAACAGCGATAGATGAACGGATGCTGAAGTGCAGGCACTTGTAGCAAATGTAGCACTGCCAGTTGTCGTTGGAGATTCTTAGTCCTCCTTTCAATCGCTTTATGTATACGTCGACTTTCCATGTCCATTATTGTAAAACCCGCAAGACACAACAAACACAGCTCCGATCACAGCGTCCTCCATCCTCCTGTTGTTAATGTTGTTCTTCTTTGTTTCTGTTGTTGAACGCCATGCATAAATGGCGTCGCTGTCGACCGGCTTACTTCACTTAGTACACACTGTCAGTGCAAATGCAACCCTTTAAATTGAACTGGGAAATAGTGTGTGCAAAATCGTCCCAGTACTTTAGTACTGTACATTTAGTTCTGGAACTAAAGCGGTGCGAAAGGCCCTAATGACCCCCTCTGAGACCCCAAACATTACCAACAATCTCCAGCTCTGCCCAATATGACTTCTTCCCATTGGCCGCCTCCTCACTGGACATTAGTGTGTACATCCGCCTTGGGTCAGGCGGGTCATATTTTTCCTTTGGCATCCCTGTAATACTGAAACACAAACAACAACCACTTTCTCTAGAACACCATTACAGGAAATGTACAGCACATGTACTTTATACACATGAAGTGGTTTTATATGACAGGAAACAGATGTGAAAAGGAAACTGTGCAAAGAACAGGTGAGACACCTACGGGGAAAAAAAGACATTGCAAACCCTCAGAGAGTGCAAGGGAGCAGGAGCGAGAGCACATACAAAAGCAATTCCAGGATCAATAGCTGAGGGGATTTTTCCATTACGCGTATGACAAATAGAGATACTCGCGCGCAGCTCAACGTCACCACGCGTCGCAAATTTACATAAAGCTGTCTTCAATTAAAACGAACCATAAGAGTTTAAAACCGTAAATGACAAATTAGCACTCGATAAAGAGTAAAGGCAAAAGATGACAACTTAATAAAGTTTTGTAAGAAATTACCAACTAGCGGTAGCAAACTTCCAGCGTTCTCGAGTAGCTGGCATTTCAGGCAAAGGGCAACTCTATCGAAATACATTTCATTTAAAACCACTTCTAAATTTGTTAGTCATGGCACAAACAAAGTCGGGTCATATTACCAATCCCAATTAACAAAGGTGCAGCTTAAATCCTTGCTAACTGCACTCCAAATAAACACGGTGCCAGTATATTTCCATTACATACCTGCAGTGTTAATCGCTAACCAATCAGTTAACCAACGGGCCAGATGCGGTTCATTTTTTCGTCTTTCATCATCGCTGTGCAACGGAACCCAAACAAAAACACCACCTCGTGTTTGTTTCCCAGAGCCACGTTACAGAGCTAGGACTGCTAGCTGTGCGAGTCAAATTCACTGAGAAAACGGCAGCCTGCAAGGCGCCTTAATGAGTCAATTAAGAACAAGTAATTAGGAAATGAATTGGCTTTAGATCGTAATATGTACTTGCCACAGATTTGCGGTCTAACTGCTGAAGTGAATTAGTTTGATCGGACCCCCTACAATGCAAGCGTTAACCGTTTGCTGGAGGGAACATCTCTAGATAACCATGGATTTACTTTGCAAGTTTATTTGTGCGATGTTAATCGCCTGGAACCATCAGAAGTAATCCATGAAGTTTTATGATGTTAATAAATATATTGAAGAAGACTGTGGTAGTAGCCTATGTAGCTTCCCTATGGACACAGCAGGCTGCTTACATAACCAACAACATAGATCTCAACATTCAAAATCGCCTGGTTGCTAAATTCATCAAGCATAGATTTTAAAGCGCCCACGCACGCAACTAATACAAATTAAAGGATCCCAATCTTATCGATCCATCATTTCCTCTCTGTTCAGATTGAGCAAATTAGCTCATGAGCTAACTGGCTAACATGCGATTATACATTTACAAAACTAGACCAACACCAAAAGCACCGCAAAGCAGTATGAAAGAACACATATTCCGTTACTCGCATACCACTAGATACATTTGGAAACGCCTCAAACCCCGTATTAGATTTACCTGTAAGCTCATACCAGTTCACAAAGACGAGTGCGCGTTTCTTTTGTTTCTGATCCGCTGCTCTTTCTCACTGAAGGCAAACAAGCATCATGGCGGCCGTGAGTTTCAGGGCGCGATAAGAAGCGCCCCCCTCATTGGCTGCTCCTGAAACGAGCGCTCTGATTGGTTCTTCTGTGTTTACGCTAGCGAGGCAGGCCAAAAACAGGAGTCACAAAAATAGGTCAATTTCGCGGATGTTGACGAGTAGAGTAAAACAAAGATGCAATTTTATAGATCATTATGCAATGATAACAGTAATGACAATTGACGAAACTGCAATTAAGAAACACGTGGGAAGCGTGTTTTTGTTTTAAACACTCTAAAAATGACAAATTAAGTTATGTGGCGACTGATACACACATTGTCCTGCTTTGCTTTTTATTGTTTCAACGTTTCTTTAAACTTGAAAATCAGACCACATACAAAATACGTGAATCACATCATTTTTATTACTTATTTAAGGTCCATCACTTTCCAATAGATTATATCAACCACATAGGATAATAATATGTGGGGAAAAAATGTAATTTCAGTTTGGTCTCGAAACATACAAGCAATAAGTCTTTAAAGGCTTTCATGTTTCCAAGAAAATAAAATGAAATATGTTATAATTAAAATGCGTTTATGAGCTGCATTTGACTGGCCACTGGATGGCATCATAGAGCTTTACATTCACACATCTGGGCTCTGTTCAAAACTGAATACTAGATTACCGTACTGTATACACTGTATACTTTTAGTATACAGTGAGTAACTGAATAAAAAACACTAGTATGTATGCTGCATTGTTGTCCCATGGCCTCATGTTGTATCTTTAATTCAGTGAGTGGCACTTAGTTAGCCTTGTTTTGTGTGCCAGTCTCTTGACATTTTGCAGATAATGAGTAAAGAAAAGGATGTTAAAAAACTTGGCCAATATTATTCCATTCATCACACTTGATAAAGACGGTTAATCTGAGCATATGGCTTTGTAGGATCCAATATTTCACACATTAAATGAATAGTTTACCCAAAAATGTAAATGTGCTAGAAGGAACTTACCCTCTCAGACTTTCCAAGATGTTGATAAGTTTGTTTCTTCATTGGAACAGATTTGGAGAAATTTGCTTTTATCAGCTGTTTGGACTCTCATTCTGACGGCACCCATCTACTGCAGAGAATCCACTGAGTAAGCGATATAATAGAAATTTTCTCCAAATATGTTCCGATGAAGAAACAAACTCATCTATAGCCTGAATGACCTTGGGGTGAATACATTTTCAGCCCATTTTCTTTTGTTGTTGTTTCTTTAAGGTCTGTGTAAGTAGCTCACCTAGCTATGCGGATACAGAACATTTGCATAACTTAGTTATCCTTAGACTTTTGATTGTGGTATAATAGTGAAATTACAGTTTATTTGATGTTTTTATGATGTTTTTCAAGCTGTGATGCATATTGGATTGTTTTCATATTTTCATCAATCATAATCTTAACAGATGCTGAGAAACAAAACAACTTAAGTGGATGTATCTATGATTAATTCATTCATAAACCACAAGCATACAAACAACAATGAAATAAAAATGACGTTGATAATAAAATTACTACATGTATTACTGTACAACCCAAGTAATAAGGAACATGAGGAATTATACCAGACCAATCTTTTTGTGCATTATCAAACACAGGCCTAACTGACTGATAAAAACTGATGTAAATCATGTATAGGATATGTGCTAACGAATTTGTATAATATCTAACCCAATTCACCACTGACATGTAGAAGGAATACAGCCTTTTCAATAAACTGTGCTTGAAATGTGGGATGTAAAGATTTGGTGACAACACTGAAACTGTCAAGCGATAATCCTGCCATAAGCACAAACACACTCCCACCTGCTGAGGGCTAAATATAGTTTCAACCCTGACATCTTCCACATCATGATGCACGTAACAAGGCCTAAACCTTTCATGATAGAACATCAATAGGTCTGAGAGCTTGAGGTCAGGCTGCGGCCTTAAAGATACCTTGATATTATACATACCTTTTGTGTACAGAAATCACATTCAGGAAATTAAAGATAACAAAGAACATGCAAAACAAAATTAATAAGCAAGAATTACGCCATTTTTTCCAATTTCCACCACATCTCAAACCCCATAACCCCAGCTCTTTGTCTTGCTAAGGGTAATTTCAAAGCTAGCATGTAATGCATCCTAAATACACACAATTAAACAATGTTTTCATGCTCTTTGCATATTTTGACAAAATTATTGCTTGATTGGAAATGACGCACAATATATAGTAATTTCCTTCAAGTGATATTAACCTTGGGTTTCCTCTGTTTTCTTCACACATCACAAGTCTCACATTTCATCTCAAGCACTTCACTGACATGCTTGTCTCCTTGGTAACCAATACACTATAAAAAAGTAATCAGTGTGATGAAATGAGGAAATTATGAAATTATAGCAATTATTTTTGCATTTATGTATTTTAAATAGGGTATTATGCATTTACACAATACATATTAAAATGGATCTTGTTTGTTGCACTCAGATTGATTAGATTTATAGTCGTACGCATGTAAACATTTATATTTTTATGATGAATTTACATGTCTGGGAAAATAAAATCTACACAAAAATGTAGTTTAAAAAAAACATAGCAAATATAAATGTAAAAATAACAACAACAAAAAGCATGATGAAACGTTTCAAAGACAGTTTCATTGTGAGTTTTATAAAACAAAAAGTTCAACAAACACATAGTTTCAAGTGGCAATGATATGAATTAACAGAATTTATCAAAATTCCAGGCGATAACTGATCTAATATAATCTCTGTATTTTATTTCCTATTGTATATTTTATTAAGCCCCAACTATTACAGTTCTATAATTCAAAACACATCAGAGATGTAAACATTTCTTTATCATCCACATGTGCCTAATTGAATCCACATCATCCAATTAGCACCTACATAAATTCCAAAGCATCATTTTAAGCAGCATTCTCATTTAGCAGCGTGGCACACTCTAAAAAATGCTGGGTTAAATATAACCCAGCGCTGGGTTAAAAAGGGACAAACCCAGCTATTGGGTTGTTTTGACCCAGCGGTTGGGTTCAAAACAACCCAACCGCTTGGTCAAAACAACCCAATAGCTGGGTTTGTACCTTTTTAACCCAACATTTTTTAGAGTGCAACTGAAATCTGACAGATGCTTTTGCCGCATTCACTTTTGCTCTGAGCATTGCAAGGGTTGCGCTTGTCAAATGTTCTATCATCTTGTGTTTCTCAATCATCTCGCTCCCACTTCCGCTGACTGTGCAGATGTGTGCCAGAAAGCTCTCCAATGCAGTGAACTTAATGCTTTGAACTGTAGGACTCATTTAAATTGAGACATCCCCGCCAAAAGCTATTGAATGGCTTTCAATAGCATGCAAGTGTCAGCATTATTAGCGCTTTCAAGAAACCGAACGTCTCGGGTTATATAAATCAAACACTTGATAATTATCTCAGCACAGTAGGAAAGGAGTCTGATAATGTCATCATTTCCCATCTCTAATGAGTAAGAACTGAAGGTAGAGGGAAAAAGGAAAGGTTGTAATAGAAAAAAGAAGGAAATCTTTCATCATGTGCTCGCAGTGATGCTCATGGTATGGCATTTCTCTTTACTCACCAAGTCTTCCAACCATATCATATTTTGTATTCACTTTTGATTCATTTGGTGGATGACGTGTAATTGAGTAATATAGAGGACTTGTTTAAATACAGTCACAACTTCAAAAAGAGTGACTTTATGTTACTAAGCCTATTGTGGCTGTTCTGTACTCAACAAAGAGTGCCATACAAAGAGTACAATAAACAGAATAAAGCAAATACACTGATTAATTATTGTTTACTGCAACTCTCCTAGTTTGAAATGAAGAGGATTAAGTATCTCTTGTTTATAATTGGCTTATTGGAGTCTGAAGACACGTTCTATAATATGGAAATCTCTAATGTCTCTAATCTCTTTCATCAATTGTTCTGATGAAATGATACATGAGTGACTTTTTGTATTGAACATCACTGGCCAATAAATCACCTATGTTAATTTTTTTATTCATTGTTACGTGACTCTCTGGAATACTGATTGAATGTTGTTTACTCAAGTAAATATGAGAGATCAGGTTTTGTTGTTCTTTTTGCCTTCTCTCAGTTTCTCTTTTAAAACAAAGAAGCTGGATGTGCAAGTCAAATGCGAAGAAAGAAATTGCCTGTGGATTTGAATCATGAACAGAGAGAGCCATGGGGGACCTCTTCAAGCCGCATGGGAATTTGTCACAGGGGCCACGTTTTGACCTTTGCCATGAAGCTGTGACAGCCCTGATTGTCCAGATTTTCGTTTCTGCATCTCATTTAATAATTCAAGGTAAACAGGGTTGTTTTTTCCTTTGTTGTGTCTCCCTGTTCAATTCTCACACTCACACCCCCACATTCTCACCTCCGGTAAGCACATCTCTAGCAATAAGAGCAATGTTATAATTACATTTACCTCTTTGCATAACAATGTGAATGGCCAAGTACATCTACAAGCTATATTGAGGAACGCAGGCGACAACGGGCAGAGAAACAGTCTGGGTCATTACATTTATTACATTAGATGTTTAACACAGAAAATAGTGGCTGTGCATTTAGCCTTTTGCAGCGTCTGTAGGGTCTCTCATGTCATGTGGAATTGCAGTTGATTCACTGTCTGCTCATGTGCCAGTTGCTGCATCATGAGCGGACACATATACCATGACACCACTGCCCTGTTACCCATGATAGATGTTTCCCTAAAGCTCCACACCTTGAAAAATCCCAACCAACATGCCCCATTACTCATCTTCTGGTCCTTGTCTGGGAAAATTGAGCAACGGACTGACACAGACCAGATGCCACATGGATACATAGTTGATCAAACATAGGCTAGCTGAGCATTTAATGCATTCTGGGGGTATGACTCCTGACAGGGGTTTACATCATCTTGTACCATCACATGGCCAAGACCTCAAATCATTGAGTCTAAAAAGACTGATAGCCTTCAGATCAAATAGCC